TCAGCTGCTCGTCTTCAGGCGGTGGACTCCGCCCACAGCCAGCGGATGTCCTCCTCCTGCCGCTCCAGGCGCGAAACCACGGCTCCGCCGCCAGGGTCTCCGCCGCCATGATCCCACCTCCCACAGGTACAGACGCCGCGCGGGCTGGGGACTGTGGCGTGGCCGTGGCCAATGGTAGAGAGCTACTGGGCGCACGGCGGCGGGCGGGGGTGAGCGACGAGGAGAGGCGGGCCCGGGCCTGCGCGCTGCGCGGGCTGGGGGCGGGGTGACCTGGAGGGCCAGGGCGGGGTCTGCGCACTGCAGGGGCGGGGCTAAAGGAAATGTAGGGGCGGGACAACGGGAGGGGCGGGCCAGATCTGCGCACTGATAGCTGTTTGTCTGAGTGAGGCTCAAGGCTATTTGTGCGTGGGGTGTCTGCAGAATGGCCTGGAGAGCCGTGGTGGGCCTTGCCTAGGCTCACGTTGCCCTCATAGCTACCAGTATGTCATATCTCTGTTGAAACAAATTGTTCAAAACCTCGGGAAGGCTAACATGACTCTTACCAGGATGGTTCCTGTCTTTCTCCGCTTGAGTTCTCGTAGTCATCATTCTTTTAACTTGCAACCAGGCTCTGGAAAGTGGCCACTGAAAAAAAAAATCGATCTTCTTTGGCCTCGTGCTAAGGCTGCCTAAGTGCAGAGGCCACTGCACCAGGGCACACAGTTCTCTACAAAAATTTAAATCTGACGGCATAAAAATGCTAACTTCTTGAGTCCAGGGCAAATGTCACATACGACTTTATATACTTCATAACCATGAGCACAAAGCCTCCTGTGCTAGGAACACAGATTGGTTTTTATTTGCATTCTGAGGGTTTAGAATGTGGCAAACAATGTTCTAAGTTCTTTACACAGGTATTAACTTGTTTAATACTTGCAACAAGAGGCACTATTGTTACATCTATTTACAGATGGAGAAAGTGAAGCACAGAAAGGCTAAGTGACTTGACCAAGGCCACACCAGAGCCACATGACATAGCTGAGACTCACTCTCATGTAACCCAGTGCGTTGTTTGTGTGCTTAACACTATGGTGCCTTTCAACCTTGGTAAACTTTCACTGAATGGGTCATGATGAGATGCAGGTAACGCATGCCATTAGAGGTCCGAGATGAGAAGCTCAGTCTGGACTGTGCACTTGGGAAGGGAAGCAGGTGCTCAGAAGATAACGGCTGGCAGATATTAGAAAGGTGAAGAGGTGGATGAATGCCACTCTAGGACCATGACAAGCCAGAAGAAACTGAGGGGCAGGACACACAGCTCCCAGGAGGAGGGTCCAAAACTGACACTCACCACCGTGTCTTTGTCGTCCCCTCCCCTGATCAGCTTCTGGACAGTCACATAGGCCCATGGGCCCCACAGCCTTCCAGCCACTTCACCACCTGTCCCCACAAGGCCTCTGCTCCTCCCGTCCCTGTCCCGCCATGACCTACCTATTGGCAAATGCCAGGGCCTTACTTATGCTTCCAAAGTGCCCTAAGACTCCTCTGTAATTTGTCCCTCTTAGGCTCCCATCCCCAATCACCAGGAGCCCTCTGATCTGCTTTCTGTCACTACAGGTTTGCATTTTCTAGAGTTTTCTATAAATGGAATCATCCAGTATGTATTCCTTTTATTTGGCTCCTTTCACTCAGCATAATAATTTTGAGATCCACCCATGTGGTTGAGTATGTCTTTACTTCCGTCTGTCCTCTCTTTGAGCAGTATTCCATTGTACGGCTATTACACTACGTTGTAGTATAATTAATTTATTCATTTACCTGTTGTTGGACATTGGACTGTGTCCAGGTTTGGTCCAGGATCTACCTCACAGCGAGCTCATCAGCTCCCCAGACTCACCCTGTGGTTATTTCCCCAGTTTCAGAAAGCAGAGTTTGAATAAACATCATCAGCAACTGGCAGAATCCCCGTGGGGGTTCCCTGACCCACAGACTGAAGGCTCTTCTAGTAAGAAGGGCCAGGTGGAAGGCACTGAAATTTTCTCGACCTTCAAAAGAAGTACAGCAAAACCAACACCATGTTCCTGGAGGAAGGGCAGAGATGACCGCCACCCTCAAGGACTTGAAAGGTGCAGGTGTGTGATTCTCACCACACCTCCGTTTACCTCACCTATTGAGCTCGTGTCGATGACAAACCCGTGTTGAAGGATTACAGTGGATGATCCTAAATTTGGTTAGATGGTGACCCTAGTCACAGCTGCTCTTCCAGGCGTGCTAACATTGGTGGAGTCTAGCAACATAACCTCTGACATCTCACATGCAGCTGTGGACCTGGCTATTGCTTTTTTCTCTATACCTGTTAGTTAAAGGCCATCAAAAGTAGTTTTCTTTCAGCTGGCAAGACTAGCATTTATGTGCATGTGTATATGTGTACATGTATGTCCACACATGTATTTCCTCATACTCTGTGCTGAAGGGGTCAAGAAGCAGGCATACCCAGCAGCAGTGAGCACACTCAGCATCAAGATCTTGGCCTGTAATACCATTGCTCACCAAAGGAAGCAGGGCTTCTGGGAGAAAGGGCTGATTCCAGGACTGGAGCCCACGAAGTTTCAAGATAAGCCTGGAGCACCTTGTTTTGCTAGAAAGCAAGAAAGTGCCCACCACCACCCCCAAAATGATGGAAGCATGTCACCAGGACACAGGAACCGGCTTGGAGGGGCTCCCACTGGCCACACCTGGGACCACTTGAACATCAAAAATAATTAAGTTCAGTTGTGAACAATAAAGCATTGAAAAATACAGGAATTCATACTGATAATCCTGCTAAATGGTAAATGCAGAGGTAAATGTGGATTTGAAAAATATCACTTTGCCAGCATCACAGAGAGATCAGGTCAGGCAAGAATACTCTAGGGAGAAGCTTTGAGAAGCAGCAGGGTACTTTTATGGTTGTGAAGTGTCTCCCTGTAGAATGTTGATTAGTTGCAAGGGAGAGGACAAAAAGGAATTATACGATCGAGAAATCATGCAATACTTGATCAAAATTAACATCACCTGTGAGAAACAGGTGGCCATCACGCATCCCCTGAATGCATGATCTCAGTATAACCGCAAGGAAACAGCGGATAAATACAAAGTGAGGAACACAGTGTTAACAACATGGGGATGATTGGGGAGGAGGAGCTTTTCTTCAAAAATGTCGATATCATAAACAATAATGTCTGTAGAAATGTTCCAGGTTAAAGGAGGCTAAAAAGCCATGATGAGTAAATGCAACACCGACCCCAGATTGGACCCTGAGGGTGAAAAGCAATAAAGGGCATTATTAGGTTGACCAGACAGAACTGGAACAGGAATGGAATATCAGACAAGGCTATTAATGTGAATTTATGAGGTTGATAACTGTCTTCAGGTTATTGAAGGGATTATCTCCTTTCTCAGCAAAAACAAGCGGAAGAATTTCGGGGAGAAGTGTCATGATGTCTATTACATCCAAATAGTTCAGAAAAAAAACACACTGCAGAGGGAGAGAGAACAAATGTTAGCATAGGAAATGTTCACAGCCTCAAATGCGAGGCATCTGAAAATGAGTACTGGCTCCGAAAGCATCTTTCAGACTCTCTCCCCCAGGGAAAGCCCTCGGGAGCTCTCTATGGCAGACGGAGGGAAATCCAAATTTCTTTTCAGGACCATATAGGCTGGCCAGATTGAGCTCAGGACTGATGACCTTTCTGTCACTGCCCCAGAACCCCATGCTCTCCAAGCCCACGTGCAGCTTCATGGAGCCCCAAGGTGCATCCCTCTCTCTCCTGCTCTGGGATTTGCACACTCGGAGTCTCAGCCTGATAATGGCTCCCGTCCACTCTTAAGATCCGACTTCTTTTCATCTTGGAGGTTGTCACTTAAGGGCCCACCTCTCCACTCTATTTAAGGTCTCCCCACCCCCATTTTCTCTCAGCATCTTTTTCAGCTTTGTTGTAATTACTTCATTTCTGTGTCACCTGATTTTTTTCTCTCCCTACCTGTGCCTTTTCTCCAAGGAGGGAAGTTGTCTGTCTTGGTCACTGTTATTTTGTATCACGCACCAGCGCAAAGTGGGTGTCCCAGGAGAATCTTGAAGTAAGAACAGCCTGTGGAGGCAGTAAAATGATCGAGAGGGGCAGGCACTGATGAAGAAGGGGTGTACAGAGGATCTTTAGGGCAGTGAAGCTACTCTCTGTGATGCTATAACGATGGATACGCATCATGACACATTTGTCGAAACCCATAGAATGGACACCACCAGGAGGGCACCCTAATGTGGCCCTTGGACTCTGGGGGGCAAGGATGAGTCAACGTAGGTGCATAATTGTAACCAATGTGCCACTCGGGTAGGGGACATTGATAGTGGGGGAGGCTGTGAGTGGACGGGGCCGGGGGTAAATGGAAAATTTCTGTGCTTTCTGTCAACTTTGTGGTGAACCTAAAACTGCTCGAGAAAGATAAGTTAAAAAAGAGAAAGTGGCCGAGAGACTACAAAATACCACCAGATGGTGCTGATTCCCTTGGAAGTATCAGTGTGGGGCACACGCCCTTCGATGCTGGTGTTGAGAGTGGTCGGGATTCTGTGACTTCTGGTCCAGTTCTTGGGAGACTCCAAGTGCTTCACAGGATTGTCACAGTGCAGCCCCTGGGTTTGTGCTTTCAATGGATGCTTTAGAACGTCAAGTTTATTGGTATTGAGGCAGGACGAGGCCACCAGATCAGGAGAACGCTGCTGTTGAAAAGGTAGTTTGTTACATCCCCCATGAGGAGTGGTTGCTTTGCTCCAGGCCTGGTGGGGCCACGTAGGGAGGCACCAGGGGGCAGAAGGAGCAGGAGGAAAAGGTGGGTTCAAGTCTTTACTGTGGTTTCTGCTGGAAGGAATGGACAAGGCAGGGTAAACAAGCTTAGGATGAGCCAGTTTGAAATCTTTCAGTGGGCTGTTTTCTGGTACCTGGCCCTGGATTAGGGCATGTGGAGAGTGGCCCCAAGTGTGAGAGCCCCATAAAGGAGGTATTTGGGGGTGTGGGCTCTGGATTGGCTGGCTTGCCTGTGAAAGTCATGCTTGCAGGCGAGTCCTTTGTCCTCTCTAGGAACTGGCTACCCCTCGAGAGGCAATCTCTTCAGAGTTAGCAAGGCCCCAAGATGGTAAAACATCAGAAACACATGGTTATATGATATCACTTATATGTGGAAT